AGGATGTTAGGGGCTGGGTGGGGAGCAACAGGTCGAAACTAAACCCTAGCAAGACTGAGTGGCTCTGGGTCTGGGGTTCGTTGGTTGAGGGAGAATTACCACCTTTAGTCTTGGATGGGGTGGCACAACCCCAAAGGGACCCTGTGAATAATCTAGGGGCTTTCCTGGACTCACGACTCCTGCTTAAAGAGCAGTCATGGCCAGGAGGGCGTTTGCACAATTGCAGGTTGTGCACCACTTGCGCCCTTTCCTGGACCAACAGTCCCTACTGACAGTCACTCATGCCCTAGTCCCACGATGGGCGAACCTGTGGCACGCAGAGCCATTTGTTCTGGCAAGCGAGCTGCAGGTGAACTTACCTCACTGCGCATGTGTGCGCCTCACAGCTGATTTTTGGCTGGTTTAAGGCCTTTTTTTGGCCTCCCGGAGGCTTCAGGAAGGCTTCTGCAGGCTTTTCAGGGCAAGAAGTAGGCCCGTTCCATTACTTCCTGTTTTTCTGGAAATACCAGAAGTGATGAAACTGCCTCATTTTCGGCCTGGTAAGCCTGCAGAAGCCTTCCTTCACAGTGCAGGTAAGGGGGTGGCAGGGATGGGTGGAGATTGCACACGCAGGCATAGGGGGCGTGGGGGGGCGTGCATTGCCTTCTGAGTGCTGGTGCGCAAGCCTGCAAGCATGCGCACAATTTTTGGCACAGGAACCCCAAAAGGTTAGCCACCGCCGCCTTAGTCACTTCCCGTCTTGACTATTGCAATATGCTCTACATGGGGCTGCCCTTGCAGAACATCTGGAAGCTCCAGATGGTGCAAAATGCAGCGGCCCACATGGTTTTGTGCAGACATGGTCTGTGGTCACCACCCGCAGAACCGCTCCTTTCTTGGGGATGTCTTGCTAACCTCCTCTGCTTTCCACCTGTTGTCTATTCCATTTGCACAACAGCATGTGAAATGGATTGTCCATCAGTGTTGCTACCTAAGTGGACAGTTTGATTTCACAGAAATGGGATTGACTTGGAGTTCCATTGTGTTGTTTAAATGTCCCCTTTATTGTTTTGAGCAGTGTATATAAAATTGAATGGTGGAGGGGGGGGGGGTTGACTCCCATCTGGACAAACGCTGCCGCCTGGGGGGATCCGGCTGACTCAGGGCATTCTGGGAAATGGAGAGGAGAGTGTGGGGGGGGGGGTACAGGAGGGTCCTGCAGGAAGGTGGGATGGATGACCCTTGGGGTCCCCTTAGAGGCTGACGCGTGGACTTTCCCGGCTTTCCTCTCCCTCTCGGAGCCCCGTCGGTTCCCGGGGCCTCCCTAACGACCACCACCCCCCGCTCACCTCCTGGAAGAGCCGCTCGTTCTCGGCGCGGAGCCCCTTCTCCCCGGCGCTGCCGTTCAGCGGCGGTGGCGGCGTCGGAGGGGCGTCGGGCCCGCGGGAGCGCTGGCGGAGCGGGGAGGCGGCGGCGGCGGCAGCGGCCGGCGGGGACGGGCCGGCGTCGTCGTCGTCGTCGTCCAGGACGATGATGCAGTCGTCGTCGTTGGAGGCGTCGGGCGGGGAACTCATGGCCGGCAGGGCGAGCGGGCTTCGGGCATCGCCGGCGGGAAGGGGCGGGGCGACCCACGCGGGAACCGGGCTCGTCTCGGGGGGCGACCGCGACCGCGGCGGCGGCGGCGGCGCCAGCGTTCACACCCGAGGCGGCCGCTCCTTCCCCGGTTGCGGCTTTCAAGTTTCGATTCCGCTCGCCTCGCCTCGCCCGGGCGGCCTCCTCCCTCCGCGCCCACTGCGCAGGACCGGAAGCGGAGGTCCCGCGCCGCCATGTTCTTGTACGGACTTGGGGGGCGAAAGGAGGCGGCCCTGCTGCCCCGCGTCTCCTCAAGCGGCAGGGCGGGCGTCTTCCCCGCTGCCGTGGACCGGCAGAGGCTCGGTCGATAGGTGGACCGATGCTCCCCCTCGGTCCCCGCTGAGATTGGAGCGTCACCATCTTCCCGTACGGGGGAAGCGCTGGTGGCGTCTCCTGGCACGTGACCGGATATAGCTAGGTGAAGCTCGGAGGCCGCGCCCCCTGTGGGGGGGAGCGTTTTTTTTTTTTTTTGGCGGCTGCGCACTCGGTTCCATTCAAGCGCCCGCGGATTGACGGGGGGAAGGATTCAGGAAGCGGCTCCGCCTATCCAGCGCATCCAAGCGCTGCGCATGCGCTCTCTCCCGCCTGTCCGTAGGAACCGGCAAAGTCCAGCGCTGCGCCGCTTCCGGGCGTTCCCGCCATCGCCCCTCCCCCCCCCCGCCGCGGCTCTCGGGCCTCCTCCTCCCGCCTCCCTTCCCCGCGAGGAAAGCCCTTTCGGGGCGGCCGGAAAGAAGAGGAAGAAGCGCCTTGTCTGGCTTGGCGATTCGCCCCTTTTTATTCAGAAGAAGTTTCAAAGCTCCACCCAAAGAGACGCACACAGAGACACACACAAAGCAGTAAAACAATTAAAAAAAAAATAACGAAGACAAACGCCCGGTTACTTTCGGTTGCTGGAGGCCTGGCCGATGACGCACTCGTTCACCTGCAAGGCAAAGCGGGGTGGGGTGACGTCAGCCGCTTTGCCCCCGGGACCCCCCTCGCCCCCCCCGGCCCCCCCCCCCCACACTTACCTTCCTAGCGAAGCGGAGGGAGTTCAGGGACTCCGCGAAGTTCTCCTCCAGGGGTGAGATGTTCACAAACATCAGCCTGTGAGGGGGCAGAAGAGGGCGGGGGTGTGTGTGTGTGAGTTGGGGGGGGGCTCCCCCGGCCCCCCCCCCCCCCCCCCAAAAAAACAGCCACTCACATTTTGGAGCTGCCCCCCAGCGAGTTCTGGAGCAAGTAGGTCAGCTTGCTGTTGCGATACGGGATGTGGGCCTCCTGCGGAAAGGTTGCAGGGAGGGGGAGGTCAGGCGTGATGCCTCTGGCCCAGCCAGGGCAGACGAGGAGGAGGAGGAGGAGGAGGAGGAGGCAGGGCAGAGAGGATGCCCCAGCCGCCTCCTTGTCTCCTTCCCGCCCCCGCCGCATGGTGCCTGAGAGGCAGTGGCTGCTACCTTGTTGCTGAGGGCGTTGATGACCAGGCCCAGGGTGGAGAGGCTGGTGTTGATGGCCTGGGTCTCCTTCAGCCGCTCCCCCGTGGACAAGGACTTGTCCAGCCGCTCACTGCCCGCCAGGTCCACTAAGCTCAGCACAGCTGCAGGGCCCAGGAGAGAAGAGCGGGTCAAGGGAGGAGTTGGGGGGGGCTCCACAAGGGGCCCTGAGGAATCATCGGCAGGACCCCCCTCCTCTCCCCCCCCCACTCACAGGAGGTGTGGAGCCCCCGCTTGGCGTTCCTGCCCTCCACACGGAGCTGGAAGAGGCTGTGGCTGCGGGAGGAGCGCTCGTTCAGGTTGGTCCTGGCCACGGAGCGGTGGGCCTTAGCCGTCAGCAGCAGCCTCTGGACCTGGCAAGGGAAAAGGAGGGAGGGTCCCAGGAGCCTCAAGGGAGCGGGGGGGGCGGAGACAGAGGCACAGGGAGCCCCCCCCTCAGAGTTTGGGGAGGGGCTGGGGGGAGGGCGTACCTCCACCTCAGAAGAGATGGGGACACAGGAGAGGTTGGGGACGTGCAGCTCCTCGGTGTACTGGCTCACTCGCCGGATCTCCAGCTCTCCATTCTGCTCTGGCCGCAGCACCAAAAGATCCCGCAGCGACTCGTTGTAGATCTCCAGGAAGTTGGCGGTGAATTGGTACTGGGGAGGGGAGGGAGAGAGGGAAGGCCGCGGTTCGGAAAGGAGGCCCAGAGTCCGTTCCTGACTCTGCCGGCCGGGAGGATTGGGATGCCACTTGTAAAGGACCGCCCCCCTCCCCTCCTGGTCTCCCCCTCACCTGCCACCCCTTGGCCTCCATCTCGCGGGAGGTTTCGAAGATCCGCCTCACGGCCCGAGGAATCACACCTGCCGTCTCGGGGCCCGCGTCCTCGGGGCCCTCCATCGTGTACGTTTTTCCGCTGCCCGTTTGCCCGTAGGCGAATATGCAGACGTGATACCCGTCCAAGGCTGACTGGCAGAGGGAGGAGGAAGAAGAGAGCTCGGGAGGGTGAATGCCTGGCCAAGGGGGGGGGGGGCACCCCCTGCCACCCACCAGACGCCCCTCCGCCCTCTCCCCCCCCCACCTGGACCAGCAGGGCGATTTCCTCAAAGACGCTCTCCTGAGAGCTGGACGGGGGAAACACCCGGTCGAAGTGGAAGTCGTAGGTCACGTCCTCCTTGCGCTCACGGCCGATGTGGGACTGCAGGGGGGGAGGGGAAGGGGGAGGGAGGGAGGGGTCACTTTGGGAGAGCGAAGCTACCCAGTCCTCCCCCTGACCTCCCCCTGACCTCCCCCCAGCCCCCCCACCTCCCTGGCTCCGTTTCACCCACCGTTTGTCTCCCCAGCGGTGGGACACTGGTCTCCTCCCCGCCCGTGTGCGTGTGTGTGTGTGTGGGGGGAAGGTACCTCCTCTGTCCTGGAGAGCCCAAGGCTCTTGTTGTTGTCGGCCGGGAAGCGCAGGTGGCTGGCAGCCTTCTGAGCCTGCCTCTCGCTGGCCAGCAGGGGCCGCACTCGGCAGAAGACGCGGATGTTGCCCTGGGAGGGCAAAGGGGGGGGTGTCAGGCAGCCCCTTCGGGACAGAGGCATCAACGCCCCCCCCCATACACGCGCGCACACACACACGCACGGGGGAGGCCGCACTTCCCACCTTCAGCTCCTGCAGTGCGTTGTGCAGGCAGCGTCGCTCCATCTCTCCCTGGTGCAGGTGCTCCTCCAGCGCCTCCAGCCGGGCCGTCAGCCCCTCGTTCAGCTGCCGTTGTCCGGCCAGGCTCTCTGTGGACAGCAGCAGCTCTCGCTGAGCAGCAAGGAGGGAAGGGCCTGCTGAGTCTCGTTTGTCCCCCCACCCTCCGAGGCAGGTTCAGCAGGCTCCCCTCCCCCCCCAGCACCCCCCCTCCACCAGTCTCTTTTCGTCTCCTCTGAACCTTTGCCCCTTCTGGAAGTGGGGTGGGAGGGGGATCTGCGTAACCAGCCTCGGCCAGAGGGAGGAAGGCCCAGAGGGAGGAATGCTGGGCAGCGTTCGAGCCCCTGGGACCAACCTGGGCCTGCCAACAGCACGGCAGCCGCTCGACAAAGCCGGAGGAAAGAGAGTCCCTGCTTTCCATGTGGAGATGGTGCAACACCCCCCCCCCCCCCCCCCCCAGGATTGCTTGGCCCTGGAAAGGCAGCGACGGCCGAGGTGGCTCAGGGACGGCGAGAGGAGGACGGAGGGCCGGACTTGGCGCCTCCCCCTCCTCCAGGACTCAATGGGCTTCATGCATGACAGGGCTTGTGCAAAACCCGGCTGTGTCATTCTCATCTCACCACCCCCAAAAGACATGGACTGGGGGGGGGAGAACCGAGGCTCTCCTCTCCTGATCTTGGCCACCACAGGCACCAGGACTGAGCCAAGACCTGCCGAGAAGGCCCAGTCCGTCCTCTCACCTCTCTGGCCTTCAATTGGAGGGCCTGCTCCCGGCTGCCCTCCGTGAGCTCCTGGCGGAGGGCCTCCAGCTGCCCAATCCTCTGAGCTTGGCTCTGGCACCTTTCCTCCAGCCGCTCTTCCTTCTCCAACAGCTCCGACACCCTCTGGCTGCTCTCCCTGGCCTGCTCTCGGCAGCCCTGCAGTTCCGAGGCCAGCAGACTGCCCAAGAAAGCCGGTGGGAAGGTTAAGACCAGCGGCTGGAGCCCCCATCCCACCCCCTCTCGGCCTCCGCAGCCGCCACTGCCTCACCTGGCCCGGGTGCTCAGCTCTCCGTTCCGGCCGGTGGTTTCTGCCAGCTCCTGCTGCAGGCTCCCCAGCTGGCTCTTCAGGGTCTCGTTCTCCCCGGCCAGCCCCTGGACCCGCTCCTTGTAGGCGGCCACCTTGGCTTGGAGGTCGCTGATCTGGCCCTTCAGGTCCCAGGGGGCTCGCCTCCGCTCTCGCCCGACCCCGGGGGCCGCAGCCGGGGGTCCTGGGGAGGAAAGGCCCAGGTGAGCACAAGAGGGGGTGCTTAAGGGCTGCGGGGCGCAGGTGGGGGGCTGCCTTACCTGGCTTGGGAGGCTCCGCAAGAACAGCCGCCCGGCGCTTCAGCCCTGCAAGCAGAGGAGGAGGAGGGAGAGTGAGCGGGACCGGCAGGCGGAAGGCCCCACCGCGAAGGGGCTCGGCCCTTCCGCCCCCACCGATGCCCCGCCGATGCCCACCTGCGGAAGGGCCGGCTGGGAGGGCGGCGATGGTGGCCCGGGCCGAGGATCGGCGTCGTCCTGCGGGGTCAGACAGACGGACAGACGGGGAGGCGGAGGGAGGGTCCGTCAGCGGCGCCCGTAGAGACGGTGCACCGGCCGCCCCTCTCCTCCCCCCGGCCCCGCCCCTTCCCACCTCACCCGCCTGGTTACCGGAGACGCGCAGGAGGCCGCGGGGAGCCGAAGGGGCCGCTCGGGGCCGGGATCCTCCGGGGGCTGCATTCGCCTGGACCTGCTGGGACGCCGCGCACTTCGGCGCCGGGGCCGCCCCGGTCCGCGCCCGTTTCTGCGGAGGAGGAAAAGGAGGAGGAGGAGGGGTCAGATCGGGGGTGGCAGCCCCCTCCCCGCGCGCCCCCGCCTCCTCCCCGCGCGGCCCCGGCGCTCACCTGGGGCTCCGGGGGCGCGTTCTCGTCCGCCGCGGCCGCGCGCTTCCCCCGCAAGCCCGGCCGGGGCAGCCGGGAGGCGCTTTCGGGAGCCGCATTGGGGGCCAGGGGCTGCCGGGAGGCCGCCCGGTCCATGGCCCGAGAGGCTCCGGGGCTTCACTGGCGCATCCGGCGCGGGGCGCGACTCGACCGCCGCGCTTCTCCGCACCCGCTCCGAGGCTGCTCGCCGTTCGCCGCCTCGGCAACGTCTGAGGGGGAATTCGAATCGGCTTCCCGTCGGGCCCCTCGCGCGGCGGAGCCAATGGGGAGATACGGCGGCGGCGTCGCTCGTCCCGCCTCCGGAGGGCGACCAATCGCGTGAGGAGGAGGACGTCGGCCCGCGTTTTCCCCACTCTCCCCCCACCCCCCCCCAGCCGCGCCCCGCCCCTCCGGCTTGCGACGGCGCCCTGTGCGTGACGGCGCCCGTGTGCGTGCCTGGGAGGAAGCCCCGCCCTCTCCGCACGGGGCCGGGCAGGCCGGGAGGGAGGGGCGGGGCCCTGCCCGGGGGCGGGGCCGGAGGGCTCACCCAGGGCTCCGCCCCTCTCCCCTCCCGAGCGAAGAGGGGCGGGGCCGGTGGCGTTTGCTCGCTCCGCCGACAGCAGCCCCGCCGGTGCAGCCCGTCGCGCCCCCCACCGCCCGACCTCCCACAACCTCCGCCGCCCCCGTCTCCCCCTCCCGGGGAGGCCGGAGGCCGCGCCCGCCCAGCCCGAAGGTCGCGTCGGGGCTCCGATTAGGCTCCGACGGTTCTGCGTCACCGGCGCGGGCCCTCCCGCCCGCGGGTCTCCTGTAGCGGCGGCGGCGGAGGGGGGGGGGGATGTGATGGCGAGCGAGCCCCCCGCCGCCCCCCGCGGAGGCCCCCGAGCCAGCGCCCGCCTGACCTCCGGCCCTTGGAAGCGCCCGGCCGCCCGGCCCGCCCCCGCTGCCTCCTCCTCTTCCCCGGGCGGCTGGCCGCGCTTCTGGGACGGGCAGGACGTGCTGGCTCGCTGGACCGACGGGCTGCTCTACCTGGGCACCATCAAGAAGGTCAGCCGGCGGAGCCCCTCCACCCGATCCCCGGGGCGGGGGATAGAGGACCCCGGCGGGACCCCGCTGACACCCCCCCACCCGTCTCCCTCTCCCCGCAGGTGGACGCCGCCCGGCAGGTGTGCCTGGTCCAGTTCGAGGACGACTCCCAGTTCCTGGTCCTGTGGAAGGACATTAACCCGGGTTGGTGCTCTGCCTCGGGGCCCCCCCCCTGGCCTGGGGCCCCCCAAGGGACTCGCTCTAGGGGGGGACGAGGGAGGTCGGTGACCCCCCCATCAGCCACACGGTGATCCCTCTTCCCCGCCAGCCACAGGGTGATGCCCCCTTCCCCTCCCCCGCCAGCCATCCGGTGACCCCCCTCCCC